TCTAGAGCAGTGAACTCTGAATAAAAGCAAGCCTAGATACTACGTTGTTAATTTTCATGTTAAGACCATGTTTCCTTTAGAAACTCTTTTTATTTCACATGAAATAGAAATTTCCAGAAACTGTGTTTTCTTTCTCTGCTATTTTTTCCCTTCTGTTTCCCCTCTAAGAGATCCTTACCTTTTGTCACTTGCATGTTATATCTTGAAAGTGTCAGCCTCATTAAGTTAATGTCTGATGTAATATTGACATCTTCACGGAATACAATCCTTTTTCATAAAGTGATTTTCCCTGATATATAAAGGATGCTCCCACAGATGCCAAAATAATTTTATTTTTTTTTAGCCATTTTAACAATCGTTTCAATAAAATCTGTACAAGACATTGAGCCAGACACTGTGGGAGTCATAAAGATAAACAGACGTATTTCCTCAGGAACCTGCAGTCTTGAAAAAGAGGCCACATCAGATTATTCTCTTGTGGGGCATAGTGTGAAAAATGACTGTAAAGAGGCGCAGAGAGGTGCTGTGAATGCACCAAAGAAGGAGAGATTACTTCTGGATTGATAGACAGGGAGAACTTCCTGGAAAAAAAAGTCTTGATAAAGAGTGGGGAAAGTCTGGCAAAATCAATGGCAGGAACAGGTATTCAGGGTAGCAAGGAACTACAAGCATAGCTGCTAGGGCAGGGATGCAGGGTGCACTTGGGGGTCGCAGTTGGAGATGGAGATGAGGCAGGAAAGGAGGTCAGGTCCCCCTGTCAGCATGATAAACACCATGGTCAGGAGGTTAGACTTTATTCTGGGATAATGGACAAGCATTGTCTCACTCAAGGCTTTGGAACGAAGGAAATGACATGATCAGAGTAAAATTCAATGCAATTCGGCAAAATGTATTGAGTAGCTACAATGCACCCAGCCCTGTACTTAGTGTAGTGCATTCAGAGACACATTCTTAGTGCTGCCTTCAATGTCCCTGGAGTCTAGTGGGGGGATGGATATACAAACAGATAATGTCAACAAAGTATAGTATATTGAGCTCCGTTAAACCAGCGGGAGGCCACTGGCCTGAGGTTCTCTCCCTATTTTGAGTTCCTACTTAACAAACTGAAACCTAACTTAGGAGTATATTTTTTGTAACAGATAGTTGGGTTTCAGCCAATCACAAACAGCTGAGCTTCAGCCAATCACAGGCACCCAACTGATCCAACCACACCCAAATAAGGCAAATACCTAACTTAGGTAGCCAACAGATAATGTGTTTACTTTGCTTCTGTGTTTCGCCTATAAAAGCTTGCTACCCATGCTGCTGGATGGAGCTCTCTCAACCTCTTCTGGTTCTGATTTCTACCCAATTCAGGCATCATTCTTTGCTCAAATGAACTCTGTTAAATTTAATTTGCCTAAAATGTTTATTTTAACAGCTCAAATAGATGTATCTAAAGGAGGCTGTGAGGACCCACAGAAAGTAATCTGGGGACTAAGGGAGAAGTTGGTGCCTAACTTGAGTCTTGCAAGGACAGAAAAGAGTTACTCGAATGAAGAGAAGAGAGAAGGATATTCCAGTTTAAGAGTATATTGTTTGAAAAATCACAGAACATCAAATAATACTGGATGTGTAAAGAAAGACAGCAGCTCCATTCTACTAGTAGGCTCAGTGTAAGGCAGAGAGAGGGGAGTGAGGGAGAAGAGAAGATGAGGGGCAGGGACTAGCTTTGGAAACTTCACTCAGGATGGAGGTACAGAAACCAGGAGACTATTATAGAGGTCAAGTCCCACAGGTGTTACATTAAGGAGGCACACCTCAAACAGAAATTTCAGATTTTTCATGGGACTCTCACTTAAAGGGGTTCGAGTATATATTTTGCCAGGCAACTCTTATTAATACTTCAAATTATTTCCTAATCTTCAGCATCCTCAGAACTCTCATATCTTATTCCAGAAGAACCCTCACCCCATCTTCAGTGTTCCATTCCTACCACCCTGGTTTTTTAATCCCCTTTCTCTTCTCTGCCCCTCCAGCAGATCACATTCACCCTGTGAGTGATATACTTTTGCTCTGTTTAGTTTTCTGCACCCACTCCAAATCTCTACACACAGATTTTTATCCTCTCTCTTCTCTGCCAATAGGGCTTGATGGCGTCAGAGCAAGTGGACTACTTTGCAACGGGGAGTGAGGTTGTGGGAGGCTCTGAATTCACTCACAAATGTTAACAATTTGGGGACAGTTACAATAATTAAAATATAAGACGATCAGAAAGAGCTAGAGAAGTGGCAGTATAATGGAATAGAAGATATGAAAGTGAGATAACTTGTACAAACATACTCAGGGCCTGACAACTAACCAAAGTAGGACAGAGGCAGAGAGAGGTAGGATTTTAAAACTGCTTTGTAGTTTGAATCTAGAAAAAAAACCAGTAGTGTGATATTATCCACCATGGCTGGGGGATATGAATAGAGAAACGTATTTAAGAGATAATAACAGAAGATGATAAACTTGGCTTTGTATATGCTTAGCCTGAGGTGTCAGCAAGATATTCAGGTCGTATTTAAGAACTAGAGTACTTCAATCTGATGCCATATACCAGCCATCTCTAAACCTGGATGTTACAAATCACCATTCATAATCAAACTCTTCTGGAAAAATGACCGACAACAGCCTGTTCTTGGAGATTGTTTGTACATGGATAACTCTTGCAGGAAATAAACCCATTTAACTTTGCTTCCAACACTCTTTCCTAACTTTTGGTGTTTATTATTATTTTTTTTTTCAGAATACCTCTTAGTATCCTATGGAATGTTTTTTTCAGGGACAATGTTCTGAGAAATGCTCATTAAAACACTACGGATCTCTAATCAGGGGAGGCTTAAGATAGAAGGAACTTGCTGTGGGAGAAGGCAGTTTGTTTGCATGGGAGTGAGAGTTGAAGCATTATGAACTGCTGAATCACCAAAAGTGAACAGAAAGAGAAAAGGAGGTTGGAGATAGAGCCTTGATAAACACCATTTGATACCTCAAATGGCACATAGAGAATATAATTTGGAGAGACAGCAAGTTGTAATAGCAAAATCATGGGTTTCAGAGTGTGACGAGTGATCTAATCTTTTTAAGATTCCATTTTCTTTCTGAAAATTAATGACTACCTTGTTGGCTTGTGTTGAGACTTAAAATAGATACATGAAATATCTTCCACATAGAAAATACATAATCCACTTTCAATAAATACTATTGTTAATACTGTTTTCATTTAAGTTTTTCTTGACATATTGAAGCAAAACCTTGATGAATACACTGCTATATTGAAACCTGAATGTTGGACAATTACATATGAGAAATCTCAGTCATTGGTATCAATGCCCTAATACAGGGAAGCAATCCTAGTTCAGACAAGCCTCAAGTAGTAACAGCATGGTACAGGAATAGCAACCATAGTAACTAGTCAATTAAAGGAGACACCATAGGAATTTCCCTAAGGCACCAGGAACTATGATTTTTTCATCTGTTTTTCACAAAGAGATGCTGGAAGCTAATATCTGAGGCTTAGTGAATACATTTGCCCTCCATATAAACTCTTGAGCTAAAAGCCTCTTCCATGTGAATGACTGTGGGTATCAAATTGTCATGACGGAACATCCTCTGACAATAGTCATTATCTGGCACCCTCAGGGGGAGACCAGGGGAAAGGCATCTGCAACAAAATACTGGTTAATGAGACATATTTCTGTCTAAATATGTCACAGTGCTACAAATGCAAGCCTTAGTCATTTTCAATATTGGACAATTGAGCATACAAGCCCCAAAAAGATTCTGAATTTAGAGTTACAAGCTCTGCTAACTGCCACAGCAGATTAGCTTTTCTCTTCTCCAGCCCAAAAATGGGGACAATTACCAATATTTTACCCAAGTCAGTTCATTCCAAACCCCAAAGGAATTGTCACCAGAATGTATTATCTTGCAGTCTTTTGGAGGGCAACCTCATAGGTCTCAGGTCTATCTGAGGAACCTGGTGTAGTTAAGGTTGGTCATTAACGTGATTGGTCAGCGTCTTTAATCAAGAAATCATTCCATAGCAGCCAAGATGTGGATGAAAAAGATGTCCAAAAGGATGGCAATCAAGTCTTTGAGGAGATGTCTAAGGCATTTGTTGTTCAGATCCTTGGGAAGGAATAGTGGCAGGGTGACAGATTTATGGTCACAGACACACAGGGCATGGTGGCAGGAGATGCTCACATGTTCTCTGAGCAAACATAGGCTAGTGTGTAAATGAAATTTGCCGTAGAAATTCATGGAGTCTGTCTCAGGTGAGTACTTGCAGGAGAAAATGGGCAACTATGCACTCTGATTGGTTTATATAGTCACTTGCCTAAAATCACAAGGCTGGGGCAGAGTGAATATATATATTTATACGTAAACATAATATATATTATAATATATATTAAATATATGTAATATATATATGTATGTATAAAAAACAACGTTACTTAACGTGTGTCCTGAAGACTGGCAGCATCAGCATTGTCTGAATCTAGAATCATCCAAAAGTGCAAATTCCCAGGCCCCCCCCTAGGCGTGCAGGAAACAGAATCTGAGTAATTTGTTTTAAGAAGCTATCAGGTGATTCTTACATACAGTAAAGTTTAAGAAGCACTTCTCTAGACCTTTATCTGATGGGTCAATAATTACCACATCTCTCCACTTCCACCTACTCACCCAACTAGGCTGGCTTCTTCATCTTTCTGCCCTGCAGTTCTCTTCTCATGATAACACCTGATTAGGCCATCTGATTATATGTAAGAGCTCAGTTTGGAATTTTTGTCATCCACAAAAATCAGAATTTTAGGTATGAAAAGAAGCTGTGTAGACTCAGTAGAACTACTCATTTTTAGCCTTGTGATTTGGTTTGCACCAGGCAAAACTCATTTATAACTTCTTTCCAGTTTCTGTTCATTTCCAAGCTAACAATGACGTAAATAAAGGGATGAAAAAAGGAGGCAAACACTTACCTGGGCTGTAAGTTGCTCCTGGGAAGCTTTTACTTCAGCTTGCAATTTCTGGATGCACTGAAAAGGAGACAAGTTTAGAAACTAAGTGTGTAACTCTTTCTTTTACATACTCAACCTATTGCAGACATAAATGTGTATCAGTTTTCAAATCTTGTGAATGGCAGCATTATTTCAGCTACAGGTTTTGAAAATCATCATTGGAGAAATCATCCCACCATTCCTATTTCTCTTCCATTTTATGAAAGAGCCCAAAATAAAAACACACAAATATATTAAGAACTAGGATATGCCTGAGTAAGATAATGTTAGCTTGACATGCTATGGTTAATGCAAATGCCCCTATATCATATATATATGATATGTATATCATATATATTGCATATATATATACATATATATATATGCCTTCACATGAGAGTGTATTCATATATTCTAAGAGCAGATGCAAACCCTTTGGACTTAACAAGAGCTAAATTTATATAATGATATGTATTTTAACACTCAGATATTCAGAGATTAATCATTTCTTATAAAGTAATTGATTAAGAAACATATGCCAAATGTTATGATCCTCTTGTTTTACTGCACAGAAAGAAACACTCCAACGTTGACAACTAAGAGAAATTTGTGCAGTCAATACCATTTATAAAATAAATAGAATATTCAGCTAATATTATTCAAAAGGATACATATCAAACAAACTTTAAAACTACTACTACCAAAATAAATTTTATGTCAATATTCATCAGGGAATAAAATTACTTTTAGCAAATACAAATATTGTTATTTACCATTGTGAACTTAAAAATATGAACTTTTAATCCAGACTGAAATGGTTTTCCAGGATTATCAGTTCATATAAAATTAGGTAACTATTAAAATAAAGATGACGTTGTTCTACAACATACCTGGTTTTTCACAAGAACCATTTTTTCATATGGTTCTCCACTGGCTTCCTTGTGGTCCACAGCCTCCAGTTTTTCCTCCAGCCGGGATACTTGTTCAAGCAGTTTTGACTTTGTTCCTTCAGAGACTGAAAGCTAAAGATATTTTCTTTATAAGAGTATGTAAGTACAGTGATGTTTTAAAAATTCAACTTAGAAATAATTTATTTTCCACCAGTATCTATTAAATATGAAAACAGCTTCTGGAGCATTCCTCATAAATGATAAATTAGCATAGAGAAAGAAGGAAAAAATTGATTTTATTTATTGTTTATAACTAAGATCTTTCTGAACAAGAGATGAAATCACCGAGTTACAACGGAGAATATAGAAATACTAGAAATAGTGAAATTTCTAGTGCAAAGATCTCAACACTCATCTTCACTGGGTTTCAAGATTGCACTTTATTTGTACAGCTGAATTTAAAACTTGTATTGTGATTTATATATGGTCCTTGAAACTTAACTCTTAGGCGGCTACAGCTATCTAGAAAGAATGGGAGTTCTGACTCTCCTGAATGTTCGCCACAGAAGCGGCAGGGTGCATGGAACTGGGGTATATGCAGGAATTTCAAGTTAAAATCTGATCAAAGGCAGATCTATGCTAAGCCACAACCAAAAAATTCCTAGCAATGACTTTGTCTTTGTTTGACTGTTTGTAGATTCCTCTTGAGGAAAGTGGTAGTTTGATAGTCCTTAGTCTCTAATTCCCTTGGAGAGCGCCTGTACTAGCTTCTCCTTTCATTCTGACAGCTATTGTGCTTTTTCTCTACAGTTCAGCAACAATCCTGAAAGACTCCCTGGAAAGGGACACACAAGTCTGTATTCACTGCAACTCAACTCCCAGGGTACTCTCTGAAGCATGGATTATCTCTACATTTCTTTTGCATTACTCTGAATGTTGTTGCAAGGCAAGTTGTCTCATCTTGAAAAAACTTAATTGTCCTTAGATTTTTAAAGACAATGTATCAAATGTGGAAGCACGAAGAATTCAGTCTGCCAAGGAAATAAGCATGTTCTCTATACTGGCCCATCATACATACTGGCGTATCATATATACTGTGAACACATCATACACACCGGCACCAAACTATCCAGCCACACACTCATTCACCGGACAAATGTTTGTTCAGTTGCCCCCTCCACAGCCATTGTGTTACGTGCCGCAGATTGAGAAAGTGCAAAATAAGGGTTAGAGGGAACACACATGTTACAAACTGCTGGCCATGCCTTTTGGCTCGTGGTGGCCTTGGAGACCAGAGGTGCTCCTCATGATCACTAACACGTGTTTAACTCCTGAGTCCATGGTGGTTTGGGATTGCAGTCTGGCTTCTCTGCCAACCCTTCTATTTTATTAGAGACACAGTATAGTGTGATGGTTAAAGCCAAGGAGTCTTGTGTCTTTATTCTTTAGGTAAAAAAAAAAATCTCAGTTTTGTACAAAAATTAGCCTGGCATGGTGACAGGTGCCTGTAGTCCCAGCTACTAGGGAGGCCGAGGCAGGAGAATCGCTTGAATCCAGGAGGCAGAGGTTGCAGTGAGCCAACATCACACCATTGCACTCCAGCCTGGGGAACAGAGTGAGACTCCGTCTTTAAAAGAAAAAAAAAAAAAAAACAACTCAATTTTGCTGTTTGCTATCTGTGTGATCTCAGCAAGTTACTCAACCTACCTGGGCTTGAGTTTTTTAATCTGTAAATAGCGATGGGGATGAAAAGAATACTACTTATCTCATGGGTTGCTTTTAAGGATTACATTGTTGAGTTTAAACAACAGAAACATTTAGAACAATACCTGGAACATATCAAGCACCTAGCAGCTCTTATTATAATTATTCTTCTGCCTCTCTAGATCACAGTAGGTGTTTTTCTGGGTTTTATCTAAATATTTATCAATTTTGTGTGTGTGTGTGTGTGTGTGAGAGAGAGAGTCTCACCTTGTCACCTAAGTTGGAATGCAATGGCACGATCTCTGCTCACTGCAACCTTCGCCTCTTGGGCTCAGGGCGTCCTCCCACCTCATCCTCCTGAGTAGGTGGGACTACAGGCTCACACCACCATGCCTGGCTAATGCTTTGTATTTTTGAGATGGGTTTTCACCATGTTGCCCAGGCTGGTCTCGACCTCCTGAGCTCAAGTGATCTGCCCGCCTCGGCCTCCCAGAGTACTAGGGTTACAGGTGTAAGCCACTGTGCCCAGCCTATTTATCAAATTGTAAAACAAAAACAAAATATCTGAAGACATCATAATCTTTATGAGCTGCATACCCTGAACTCAAACCATATTTGATTTGTTCATTTCCTATAACCACTCTAATGTTCAGAGAAATCTCCCTCTATGTCTGGAATTATTTTTTTCTCATGTATAGTCTCTCTCAGTCGGGTCCATTTTATTCCCATATTCTGTTTGTTACGTGATCCATCGTTACCATTTTATTGTCTTTCTTTTAACTCTAGCTTCTATTGTTTGAAAGCCTCTATTTGTTCACTCAAAAGACATCATTTATTCACTCATTTGTTAAAGAAATAAGTTGGACATTTATTATATGTAAGAATTTGTAGATTAAAAAATGAAAACAATGTCATTCATATCCTCAAAAAACTCATACTTTAGCCAGAAAGTCAGATCATTTAAAAATAGCTATTATAAAATGCAAAACTATATAGGTGAATAAATAATATTAATAGTAGTTAACATTTCTTGGGTACTTACTACATGTCAGACAGTCTGCAGAGCCTTTTGTTTTCAAATTTATTTTAGTATCTCAATTTATCTTCAAAACATCCTAAAGGTTCATTCTATTATAGCTCCCATTTTGCAGATAAAGAAGTTGAGTTTCAACAAAATTGTATGACTTATCAAAGGATATAGCAAGTAAGTTCTGGAATTCAACTTTTTAATAGTGGACATCAGATTTGACTCCCTACACTCAAATTTGACCCCAGCTCCAAAATAGGCCCTGGTTATCATGACAATTCTATCCTCTTTGCTGTTGATTGGTTCAGGAATCAAAGCATAAACTAATCATAGCTTGGCTTTCCTGTAGCAACAGTTATCGTATAAGGAGATGTGACCTAATTTGGGTTACTCACACTGCACAGAATTGGAGAGTGATTTGGAGAAGCACCCTCTGTCACCGACCAGACGCGAATGCTACTACAGCCATCCTACAGACATCAGGAAACCAGGCATACTCAGAAAGGAAGAGTAAACAACAGAAAAATCTTAAGTTCTTGATGACATTATTGAAGTGCTTTATTAACTAATCTTGAAGCACACCCTACCCTGCAACTTGCACTTAGTGAGTCAATAAATTCCTTTATTGTTTAAGGAGTTGAGTTTTCTATTACCTGTTGCCAAAAGTATTCTACGGATATGCTGTTTGGTATCAAGATTCCATGTTCTTGACCACGAGTAAGAAAAGTTTATGAAAAACAGCAGAAACTAACATATGTTTGGTAGATATAGTATACTAGGCATTCTGCTGGGTGCTACATATATAAATGTTACCTTACGTCATTGCTCAAAACGCTATCAGCAATTTTCTTTATATTTTTGTTATCATCATCAAAAATATTGAGAAACTAAACGCTTTAGTGGTGAATTAACTTGTGTAAGATTCCAAAGCTAATAAGAAGAGGTTAGATTTTGGCCCTCATTTGTCTGCCTCCATTCCTGGTTTTATATCATATCCAAATCCTAACTCAGACTGCCTGTCACAATGAGGGCTGTGATGTTTTTTTTCCTTACCATATGGACTTCAGCAATATTTCTCAGGATCTTAATTTATATACTTACAGGAATTTTTTTCTAATATCTTAGAATTCTCTCTAACCCACCATCTTGCTTCCTTTTATACAGACACTAACCCCTTATTTCCTCTCCTTTTGTAATAAGTTTCTTACTGAATATCTCTTTAACTCAGATATATTTAGCTCAGGTTCAGCTTAATTCTAAGAAATGTTGACTTAGAATCAGGATACCTATGCTTTAGTCTTAATTCCACAACTCACTGACTCTATAACCTTGGTGCCTATAATAGGATTTTTAAAATAATTTCAACTTTTTTTTTTAGATTCAGAAAGTGTATGTACATATTTGTTATATGGGTGTATTGCATGATGCTGAGGTTTGGGGTATGAATGGTTCCATCATCCAGGTAGTGAGCATAGTACCCAACAGGTAGTTTTTCAGCCCTTGGTCCTCTTCCTCCCCTCCCACCTCTAGTAGTCCCCAGTGTCTTTTGGTCCCATCTTCGTGTCCATGTGTACCCAGTGCTGAGCTCCCACTTATAAGTGAGAACATGCAGTGTTTGTTTTTCTCTTCCTGTATTAATTTGCTTAGGGTAATGGCCTCCAGCTGCATCCGTGATGATGATTTCATTCTTTTTATGGCTGTGTAGTATTCCAGGTGTATTTGCACAACATTTTCTTTATTCAATCCACTGTTGATGGGCACCTAGGTTGATTCGATGTCTTGTTATTGTGAGTAGTGCTGCGATGAAGTTAATATGTCTTTTTGGTAGAACAATTTATTTTCCTTTGAGTATACACCCAGTAATCAGATGGTGGGTTAAATGATAGTTTTATTTTAATTCTTTGAAAAAATCTTCAAACTGCTTTCTAAATTAGTGGCTGAACTAATTTACATTCCTACCAACATTGTACAAGTGTTCCCTTTTCTCAGCAGCTTCGCCACCACTTGTTATTGTCTTTTTAATAATGGCCACTCTGACTTGTGCGAGATGGTACCACATTGTGGTTTTGATTTGTGTTTCTCTGATGATTAGTGATGTGGGGCGCTTTTTCATACGTTTGTTGGCTGCTGCATATCTTCTTTTGAGAAGTGTCTGTTCATGTCCTTTGCCCACTTTTTAATTTTTTTAATTTTTCACTTATTGAAATGTTTAAGTTTCTTGTAGATTCTGAATATTAGACCTACGTTAAATGCATAGTTTGAAGATTTATTCTCCTACCCTGTAGGTCATCTGTTTACATTGTTAATAGTTTCCTTTGTGGTACAGAAGCTCTTTAGCTTAATTAGGACCCACTTTTCAATTTCTGTTGTTGTTGCAGTTGTTTTTGAGAGCTTAGTCATA